GAAGAACCATGTCCATGCTGGCGAGAGCTCTGGTTGACGGCCATGACACTGCCACCAGGGATGTTTGTCATGAGCTCATCAGCTGCAGCAGCTAGTTCGTTAAGTGAATTAGCCTTGAAAATTTTCAGCAAGTGCTGAATGCTGACAGGCAGAAGGGCCAGCCATCGTATGCGGAGCACGTCTTCTGTAGCACGATTGCCGGCAAGGGCTCGCATTTCACGAAGCAACTGTGAGGGTTTTCGGTCACCTAGATCTAGATCAGTGAGCAGTTTGTGCATCTGAGAGTCTTCGGAGGCTGTTAGTCTACTTATTAGGTTAGACTTGAGATTTTGGTACTTATCTTGAGGTGGTGGAGCCTTCAAGATGTCTGCAACTTCCGTGATTGTGTCCGGGTCCAGTGATTTTACCAATTGATAGTACTTGGTGCTATCGGACTGTATACGGTGGGCTTGAAAGACTGATTCAATCTGCAGGAACCATAGGTCTGGATGAGAACGCCAAAAGGGTGGCAGATTGCAGTTGTAAACTGCGTCAATGGCATAACTCTGCTGCTGGTTGAGCATCATGGGGGCTGGCAACGAATTTACTACTGGTTGGGCATATGCTTGCTGATAGCTCACCGGGTGATTTGTTGGATTAAAATGCACCGCGGGATCAAATGCTGTACTGCCGTGAGGGCCAGAAGGTTGAGGCATAGGAATACTCACTGACGAACCGAGTGGTACGCGGAGATATATCACGTCGGGGTCACCAGTTATAGCTACTACTGCTATGTGTTTGCTTGATATATCACCAGCGAATGAAAACACTGTTTTACTAATAACTCGGTTTAATTCTGGGCACTGAACATACAAATAAATCAAAATACTTTATTTTGTTAACAACAACAAGATATCATAATTGCGCGGCAACAAGCTGACTAGAAGTAAACAACAACCTGGGACAGCTGTCTTCTGTCACGTCACGTCAGGCCGCCAGGGTTGTACACAATAGTTGAGCCATCCAGGGTTGAACACAACGGACTCGCGGAACAATGACGCCACAATATTGAACATTTTTAACGGTAATTTTGCGTAAAACAATTATTTTGATAGCTATAAAAAAGACTTCGAATTGTTTAAAAGTTACCTAAAGTTTGGGACAAAGAATAATTATTATAGAAATAATGAGTGATAAGGAAGAATTTTTACTTTTATCATTATTATACATTGTCAATAGATGGCGCCACCAGTTAACAAATTTTGAATTATTTTTTTTTTGAATGATGACAGCACTCTGTTTATAGCTTTTCTATGGTAATTGACGTTTTCAATTAAAAGAGATGGAGTGCGTTCAAAGCCGGCAATGCTAATGCCAAAACCTACTATTCCCCTTCTACCGGCAATGCCAAATCTGGTGTGAATTTGCTGGAACGCCAAATACCGTTTCTCAATATGCAATCCAAACCACGTGACATTCAATATGGCGTGGCGACCATTCATGGACCAAAACACACAAAAAATATCTAGTTTCTGCCCGACTTAATAGTTAACGTACTTAGTTAACAAATATTTTATTGAATAATTAAAATCGAAGCTGCAAACAAACAAAATAATTGAAATATGCATGAAAACCCATATTCAAAACTAACTTGCCTGGCCGCCACGCCATATTGAATTTGGTCTCATCCAATCAAAATCCGTATAACCATTTCTAGACTCAGTTGAAAGAGCCTCCAAAAGTTACTTTACCGCGGCTGATTTGGAACGTGTAAAGCCAACCATTTTTGGCACGCTGGAGCCGAACTTGAACGCAATATGCCAATTTTGGCTCGGCTTTAGCCGTTTTTGAACGCAGCCCTTGACGATAAAGTATGAAAACATTCAGATTCCCGCCAACATTTGCTTGCTCGTCAATGTCAAGTGTATAGGGTGTTTAGCAATCCCCTGGTTTTTATTCTAATCGGTGACTCCACCGATGAGTTAGGTATCTTTGTTCAGTGAATGGAAAATGACAATGACCGACATAGAATGGTGAAATTTGAAATTGGAAAGAAAATGTGGGAAGCAAACAGCTTCCACAAACTAAACTTGAATGTGGATATCTTTGTATACTTGATGGGTCGTGGATTTCCCTTACTTTTGCGAGTATCAGTTCTGATTTTGTGTATCCAAATTTTGACAAATGTAGGATTTGATGAAAACTTATGGAAAGACACGTCCGCCGGTGAATAGGAATTATTTTCACGAAAAGGCACACTACACACAATCACCATTGTTAGGAAAAAACCTTGAAAAAACCGAGGAAATAATAGTTTCCAGTCTCACACGTATAAAACTCTTGTCAACAAACCATTGTCAATAGCTGTCAATGATTGTTTTCATACTTTTCATACTCTTTTGGCATCTGACAGTCTGACGCCAGAGAGAGAGGCTTCTAAATTGAAAAGGTCAATTTAGCGAAAAACAATAATTTTATAAACAAAAATACCTCAAATTGTTATTAAAAATTAATACCTTAAGTTTGGGAGAAGGCATTATTATGGAAATATTGAGCGATAACGAAGAATTTTCACTAACACCTCTAGAAATTACAGAAAGGGCGACAAATGCAGGTAATAATATACTACCGGACAAGTCCAAGAAAATTTACGAAAAATTTATGGACAATTTATAAACTGGAAACACCAAAAACACATCGTCCTTCTCAGAAAATGTTTTGATAGTATATTTTGAAGAACTACAATAAAAAATTAAACCTTCAACTGTATGGATGACTCAATTATGAAATCTCTATTCAAAGTTAAGCATAATGTTGACATATATAAATATCATAAATTTTATCAATGGCAGTAGAAAAAATAGTGTATGCAACTCTCATGTAATGGCCATTAATACACTCGCATGTTATATACGAAACTCGCCTGCGGCTCGTTTCGTATCCTACAACATGCTCGTGTATTAATGGCTATCATTACATGATCATTGCATAATATACTATTATTAATATACAATATTTTTATTTTATTATAAGTATATAATTTTTTTGAAGGTGAACTCACATAATATGCTCAGTCAATTCACCATTAAAAATAATAAAAATTATGAAAATTCTACTAGGAGCTGAAGTGCTACTTTTCGTAGTGAACTTATTAGGTAGGTACATATACCAAAGTTTGTCTATACACACCAAGGTTGAAGACAATATTGAATTTTGATTTCTTATTAATCTGCCCTTTAGATACCTTTTACTTTTTTAATACCAATGATGTTATAATAACGGTTTGGGGGATATAGTAAAAGTCTTGAATATACCTATTTTATTGTTATTTTTATTTTCAATTAGGTCAACAGATGCAAATACAAACTTCACTAGCTTACACAATATTGTAACAAATAGAATTCAAATTGTCTCGCCCTCGTTTCTCGTTTTCTAGTTAACACTTCACAGCACTAGGTTTTGATCAAGAACTTTTGATTTTTCACCAAAAACTTGAAACCTCAGAGAAACACATTCATACGCCCGCAACGCGTTGTCACCACATCAAGATACACGATAACACTGATTTTTTTAAAGAGGAATGCCCGAGGAAATGCTTTAAGGTAAGAGCAGTTTAAAATTATTCTCTTTACTATTGACAGTAATGTTGTTAATATCAAAATGGTGAAATGTGTAACAAAAATAATATATTAGGATTAACAATTCTGAATGTTAGTTATATAGTGAGAATTGTAAATAATACAATACCCTGAATTATTGTAAATTTATGAGTTGTCAGAATAACAACACTTTATTATTAACTTCTGTCTAAAAAATGTGATATTAATAACTTTACTATCATAATTTAAAAATATAATGGTAATGATAAAATCAATTGAAATTAATAATCGTTTTGTGATATTTACACTTTCTGTTTCTTCAAAGATGACAATAATTTCTGTATGCATTATGACATTGTTATTAATAATGAGAATGATACTGTTAAATATATATTTTTTTTTATCAAGTAAACAATGAATTATTATCAACATTCAATAATAATATTTTTGTCAATATTTCATTGTTTTTCTCTGGGTGTAGTAATATATTGTGACAAGTTACTCCAAGTACAAACGAGTGGATTGTTGCGGAACTTATGGGTGGACCCAGCCAATGTTGTTCAAGTACAATACTAACCTGATTCACGCAAGTGTGAATTTTTCTCATTAGTTCAAAAACTACACGTTTCAGGTGAGTGTCTTATTTGAACAGTTTAACAGTGAGTAGATGGCTGCGGAACTCGCTGCGCTCGTGTCGCAGAGGTCCACTCATAAGTTCCGCAATAATGCACTTATTTGTACAGGGTGTTTTTTATATATTGACACCCCACCTACAGCTTTTACCTTCACAGAGAAGAAAGGTGTAAATACAAAAGTTGTACAGTTGTGGCTGAATTTTTAGAAACCCATGCTCAGAAACAAAATTTGAATGTCAGAAATGTGGAATTTTGCATGTTTCCAGCTTTTTTCAAATGAGAGATGCCCTATAGTTCATTCTATATTCTTGAAGAGCACAATGCTCCGATTTATATTTGATTGAGCAATCTCTTATATATTTGACTCCAAAAATTGTAAAAATACCATTCTACTAGACTGATTTTGTGAACCATTCTACCTGTACAATTGAAAGCTGCAGGTACCTATACCTACTTGGTTTCTCTGATAGTATTTTTAGAATATTTAGAACCATAGCACATCCCATTTGAAAAAAGCTGGAAGCATATGCAACATTTCACATTTCTGACATTCAATTTTTGTTTTTGATGATCGATTTTAAAAAATTAACCAATACCTACTGTACAACTTTTGTATTTACACCTCTCGTCTACCTGTAAAGGTAAAGGCTGTAGGTGGGGTGTCAATATAAAAAAAAAAACCTGTACATAGGAAACTGTATGATTATTCAAAAACTGTAATACCTTTCAGATATTATTCGTTTCTCAATTCAATTTTACAGATTTTAAAATGCATAATTACACTTACCTATATAAGTTCACACAATAAACAAATATTTATTAATTGGCTGGAAACCTATTTTAAGATTCAAGGTTGATGTTAGGCTAGGTTAGATAATAATTATAACAAAGTATTCCCACAAGTGCAGAAAAATTAAACTTGTAATCTACTAACCACGCAAACATTATCTATATAAAGGCACTTAGGAGAATGATGAAATAACTAAAAATTTACCTCTTCTTATTCTTTACAAGCGATTCGGCCTACTGCGATTGGCCACAATCACCGGTTGCATATTATCAGATGATTCACTTTTATTTTTTTTCTAAATGGGGAAATCCCATGTTCGCATTTGCTGCGAGGTTTACTACTAAAGTTTGTCGCTGATTTAGTGAGGCAATTTTTTGTTTCGATGCAACACAAGAAAATATATCTACCTTCATACAAATAATGATCATCTTATCCCTCATAAGTCATGCTATTCCTTCCAAGTCAACCCTCAGCCTACCAAATATGTTCAAGTTTGAGCTAGGGCTGAATTTGTACGCATAATAGACTCCCAAATCCATATTATTTTTCCAATTACCAAGCTTGACACTTTTAAATTAGTAAGTACCCTCTGATTACCAGATAAGATTTAGCATCTCTTCAGGAAATCCATAATATGTTTGATGAATTTCGCAATCAGTAGAAAAATCTATTGTTAGCTTTTGGGCCACAACATGATTTAGTTTGAGTCCAATACTTTTGAGCCTAGTTTAACAAACAGATGCATTAAAACACATATTCTGATATGTAGATATATTTTTAATAGGTACAAAAATCAAACAACTTCTTGTTTTCTCTTAATATAATCGCAAAACATCTCGACTCCATTGTCTAGAGTTGCAATTCTCAGGTTAGCCCCGGAGACTTTCGGATTAATATGTGGATTGTGCAGCTCAGCAATTTGCGTTGAACAAGCAGCTGCTGGATCTCCACTGGCAGCTAGCTGACCCAACCAGAATTCATTTCCTGGAAGCGCATTCCCATCCCAAGCATAAGACACCACTAACAATTTGCCTGGAAATAAAAAAGCCGCAGTTGGACATTAATAAAGCGTAGGTATAGATTTCAAATCCAACTACCTTGATTTGGGCCTTTGAGTTTTATATGAGGATTTCTATTCCCGAAGTGAATTTTAATCCCACCATTTTTGTGTTCTGCAATCGGGATTATATCTTGATCCTTGTATTTACCACATGAGGTTGAGCCAATGTAGGAAAAGAAAATGTCACTGGTATAGATCAAGTTACTTCCAAGAAATCTAAAGAAACATTATTTATTAAAATACCAATGTTTTAGTATTATAAAATCTTGCCTTATTCTTCTAGAAAACGCATTCATAAAAACCTCATTTTGATGCCTTGAAATTTTCCAAACACCCAAACCAATTCCGACTACTAGAACAAAAGCCATTTTGTCCAATTTTTTAGCTCTTTCGCTTGCTTCTATTAGCAACGTATCTATAGATAAACTCAACCTTTTTTCATAAACATGATTGTTGAAATATTTCCCATCTCTTAACTGAGTGTATTTCATATTGTCGCTGAATTGATTTTTCAGTTCGTCGTACGTGAAACTGGGCTCTCCATAGAAGTTCATAAACGATCCTTGCAAAGTTGGTACAAAAGTAGTTCCATATCCTTTGCCTTGAATATTTTGTTCTTTTGATACTACAATATCTTGATATTCCATTACTCCGGGTTTTTCAAATCTGACCCCAATAAGTCCAATAATAATTCCGAAATCTTCCAGCTGTTCCCTGTCGCCTGAATATTTTCCACAATTATCCCTTGACCCATCGTTGATAAAATATGTATAAGATGAAACGGAAAGAAGTGCTGAGAGTTTTATTTCATCATAAGACAAACAATTTTCTAATATTCGTGGTGGTTTTTCTTCATTTGTACCTGAATATATACACATTAAGTATTATATCATTTGCCAATTTTTTGAAAAATATTATACCAATAACTTCCCAGTTTCCACAATTAGAAAATCCATCAAGCAACATAAACATATCGGATCTGCCACAAAATACCACTGCTCTTTTCGATAAGAGTCTGTCAACAAGTTGCTCTACTGTGAAATTTTTGTAGAGGGCTTTTTCAACATTTGACCCAAATCGTTTTTTATGGTACAAAAACTGAAGAAACAATGGTAATGCCGATTCGTGGAGAATTGGATAGACTGAGTTAGCATTATGTTCCAGAGAGCTACCATTTACACCTGAAGATGTTTTTTTTTTTTAACAAAGTTCCATTATTAACACAATATAGGTAGTTACGTACTTACCTTTAGCTTGAAGAAATTCGCATTTAACACTATCCACTGGAAAATCTATTGGAAAAGACGCACTATTTCTGATAATAGTGTCAAGATTAACTTCAGAATTTGGTTTTGAATGGGTATTTGAAAGAACTTTGAGTTGTTCTGTAGAAAATACTGGTGACTCATTCGGCCAATGTTGCTGGTTAGACATGATTACTATTGAACCTAAAAAAAAACGTACAATATGTAATTATTTTCACTGATGAGGGTACTTACTCTACTATTGACTCACTTTCAAGCAGCACTGGATCTGTGATTCATTTTATTATCAAGCAAACCGGGAAAATCCAATGTTGATCAACATTTATTGAGGTTTGGGTATATTTATGTGAATCACAAGTAGTTTTCATGTTCAAGGCTATCGCAGGTTCAATGCGAGTTCGTCATTCTATCAGGAATCTTGAAGCAGGAATCCTGGTTGCATTGATTATTTATTGTATAATGTTACCATACTTTTTTCTATAATCAGAGTTGTGAGGTGCTATTACAACGTGACATTGTATTATTGTATTATTCGATTCAAAATAGTAGTTATATTTTTCACTAATGGAAAGTGAGAATTATGTGGCGTACCTACGTGGTGCCCTTTTGGTGATGTAGGTACCCACTAGTAGACAATATACGCTAAGCTCCTTTTTGTAATTGTGTGCTTTCCTGAAGAGCATCCCATAACTTGAGGTCCTATAGGTATTAGCAGCGAGGCATGTGACAATATTGCAAACCGAACACAGTATTGATTATATTTATCGTTACAGCAAGTTCCTGATGAGCAGCCTTAAACATCATTGAGAAAGAGAAAAATCTATATTTAGATATATTTCTGTGAAAATCAATTTCATCAGATTATATACCAGACGGCTACCCCAAGAACTCAGAATCATACCCAGAATAAAAACTATATATTGACATATGGCGAAGGAATCAATAGTACCAAGTTTGGTTCAGTATATACATATAGTGTAACTCCCAATAATAATTATTGTTAAAACCAGGGGAAAACTACAGACAATAAAATTATGAAATAGGTTTGCCTACCTATATTCATTAAATCGCACTGAAAAATAACATTCGATAATAATAATTATTAGAAATACAATAATGGCAGGTTTAGTAGTACATACCTACCTAACCATTATTAGCAATATAATATGCTAACTATATAATTATTTAAAATCTGATCTTGTAATTTTCTACGCACGCCTTATTCGCCAACCAAAGGAAATATAAAAAAACTTAAATGCTCTTTCTTTAAAATCAATAAGTAAGTATACTGTATTGTATTGATTCTGTCTGTATCCTACCAAAAAAGATTTTAGAGCCTCCAACATTGTTAGCCAGGCGGCGCTAGGTGTATTTCAATATACAAATATTCAGGAATGTTCTGTTATTTTAGGCATTGGGAGGCAGTATAGTAGGTATAGGCACTTCTCAAGTAGAAAAAAACAATAAATGCAATTCGAAAAGACGTTAGGTTTTACGGTTTATGTGTATTGAAAATATAGAAAAATAATACATTTACACAAACTTAGTACATTTTTGAATAAATAAATATATTGTTTCAGTGGCGTATTAATAGAAGTTAAGGAGGATTTACCCCCCCCCCCCCCTTAAATATACTAAAAAATCAAATTATTTGAGCCTCAATTGAAAAACTTGTGATTTACAAATTGAGTTGATTTTGTCTGAGGAAAATTCAACTGGATTTTATGTTTTAACTCAAAACCCACTGAGAGGAAGATTTTCAAATTTTGAGGATTAATTGTGAAGGGTTCTGAGGCAAAAATATACTGAAAATCAAATTATCTGAGCCTCCAATTAAGAAAGTTGTGATTTTATTCAAATTGAGTGGATATTGTTTGAGGAAAATTCAACTGGATTTTATTCCTTAACTCATAACCCACTGAAAGGCAGACTTTCAAATTTTGAGGATTAATTGTGAAGGGTTCTAAGGCAAAAAATATACTGAAAATCAAATTATCTGAGCCTCCAATTAAGAAAGTTGTGATTTTATTCAAATTGAGTTGATTTTGTTTGAGGAAAATTCAACTGGATTTTATTTTTTAACTCAAAACCCACTGAGAGGAAGATTTTCAAATTTTGAGGATTAATTGTGAAGGATTCTAAGGCAAAAATATACTGAAAATCAAATTATCTGAGCCTCCAATTAAGAAAGTTGTGATTTTCTTCAAATTGAGTTGATTTTGTTTGAGGAAAATTCAAGTGGATTTTATTTCTTAACTCAAAACCCACTGAAAGGAAGATTTTCAAATTTTGAGGATTAATTGTGAAGGGTTCTGAGGCAAAAATATACTGAAAATCAAATTATCTGAGCCTCCAATTAAGAAAGTTGTGATTTTATTCAAATTGAGTTGATTTTGTTTGAGGAAAATTCATCTGGATTTTATTTCTTAACTCAAAACCCACTGAGAGGAAGATTTTCAAATTTCGAGGATTAATTGTGAAGGATTCTAAGGCAAAAATATACTGAAAATCAAATTATCTGAGCCGCCAATTAAGAAAGTTGTGATTTTATTCAAATTGAGTTGATTTTGTTTGAGGAAAATTCAACTGGATTTTATTTCTTAACTCAAAACCCACTGAAAGGAAGATTTTCAAATTTTGAGAATTAATTGTGAAGGATTCTAAGGCAAAAATATACTGAAAATCAAATTATCTGAGCCTCCAATTAAGAAAGTTGTGATTTTCTTCGAATTGAGTTGATTTTGTTTGAGGAAAATTCAACTGGATTTTATTTCTTAACTCAAAACCCACTGAGAGGAAGATTTTCAAATTTTGAGGATTAATTGTGAAGGATTCTAAGGCAAAAATATACTGAAAATCAAATTATCTGAGCCTCAAATTAAGAAAGTTGTGATTTTCTTCAAATGGAATTGATTTTGTTTGAGGAAAATTCAATTGGATTTTATTTCTTAATTCAAAACCCACTGAGAGGAAAATTTTCAAATTTTGAGGATTAATTGTGAAGGACTCTAAGGCAAAAATATACTGAAAATCAAATTATCTGAGCCTCCAATTAAGAAAGTTGTGATTTTCCTCAAATTGAGTTGATTTTGTCTGGGGAAAATTCAACTGGATTTTATTTCTCAACTCAAAACCCACTGAGAGGAAGATTTTCAAATTTTGAGGATTAATTATGAAGGATTCTAAGGCAAAAATATACTGAAAATCAAATTATCTGAGCCTCCAATTAAGAAAGTTGTGAGTTTCTTCAAATTGAGTTGATTTTCTCTGAGGAAAATTCAACTGGATTTTATTTCTTAATTCAAAACCCACTGAGAGGAAGATTTTCAAATTTTGGGGATTGATTGTGAAGGATTCTTAGGCAAAAATATACTGAAAATCAAATTATCTGAGCCTCCAATTAAGAAAGTTGTGAGTTTCTTCAAATTGAGTTGATTTTGTTTGAGGAAAATTCAACTGGATTTTATTTCTTAACTCAAAACCCACTGAGAGGAAGATTTTCAAATTTTGAGGATTAATTGTGAAGGATTCTAAGGCAATAATATACTGAAAATCAAATTATCTGAGCCTCCAATTAAGAAAGTTGTGATTTTCTTCGAATTGAGTTGATTTTGTTTGAGGAAAATTCAACTGGATTTTATTTCTTAACTCAAAATCCACTGGGAGGGAAAATGTGAGGATTTTTTGAGCCAATACTTGAAGAAAACTGAAAAATTCCCTAAAATTGACTCTGAAAAATATTTCCAGTCATCACCAGTGACTTTAAATTTTCAGGAATTACTTATAAATTATATAGTAAGTCAGTTTTAATTCGATATTTGTTGAATAAGTGAGTTTTGTATAAAGTCAATTAGCTTAATAAAAGTTGTTACTGTTTGTGAAGTGAGTTTCAGTGAACCCGGAATCCGTGACAATATTCTCATGAAACAAAACTTTATTTTGTCACTATGTAATTATTAATCATTTTTCCTATATTATCCTGTGAAATGAATCATTACGGGATTCTAAGGAAAAATTCAGTGTCTCTTGACAAGAAAAAGCTTGAGTATCAAAGCTGCAGTTTATGGAACGATTTTAAATATCCCATGCATCCGACCTAGATTTTCAACCAAACCGCGTCCCCTTTTATAAAAGACTCCGCGAATACCTTGAACGCTGGCGGGGATTACTTTGTGTGATAGAATTTGTTTACGCTTCGCGTAGTTTAGAAATACAAAGTGGAAGAGAGAGCAAAAGGTAAATTCCCCGCATGAATAATTCAGGATACTTCTCCATATAACCATCTAGATGCAGGGCGAGTGATATCAAACTGTCTGCATGCTGTATGTATGTGTGCGTGAGGCGATGCATCCCCTCGTTTTGCGTGTCTATTTGCGAAAGCTCGGATACCGGAAATACCTTTCCGTTTACGTCTTTGTGACTTGGTTTACTTAGGATTATTAGAGGGGAATTTATAACGTTATTTTAGTTTGCTAAGAAAATGGAACGTGAACTACTGGTGTACTCTGGAAAGTTAGAAGTATGTAAGTAATATCAAATTGTACTAGAATTAGGCAAAATTCTGTTAAGAGACTTTTCTTATTATTTGAGTCTGAATAGTAATCATATGTGGGTTTTCACCGGTTTGTGACGACACATCTTCTTTGAATCAATATGATGATGAAAATCAAAAACTAGACAAAGCATGTGATGTAAACTTAGACAATGAATTGAAAGGCATCAGCCGCCACACCATTCGCGTGTCGCGTCACCTCGGCAACGCAATAACAGAATTGTCGGCGGCAATTTCAAAGAGGGGGCGGCACGACAGGTTATCGGAACAGGCAGATATATTGCCTGAAGGGAGAACAGAGGAGCCATTCGGCACTGTAACTCCGAATTTTGCTGCCTCAGATCCAACTTGCTACTTCCAAATTTCTTTCTTTATTCCAAAGGCGATCGAAGAAATATGAAAATTTGATTATGGCTGTATCTTTAGTTGATGTGCCCCTGAGATGACGTTTAAGAATAAATGGAAAATAGTTTCCAGATTTTGGCTTTGTCTTAGACAAAAATGAGGATGTTAAGCTGCTGGATCCTAAATTATGGTAATACTGTTGAGCTTGAGAAGTTCATTTCGCGGTGGCCAAATGATTTACCTACTTCAAAATCAATAAATTAAATTCTATTCTTGTACCAGAATGCAAGAGTACTTAGAACCAAGATCAAAACATCCTTTACAATATAAAATTATCAAAGCAAACATCTATAGGTATATTCTTTATTCTACAAGAAAAATTACCTCGTATCATTCTTCGTAGTCTCTCCAAGATGCCGATAATGTCCATGAGCGTATTATCACAAAAATGTAATTTCTCAGTTGGCATAGGCACCTGAACATTTGCCAACGGACTGGATTTAGAAAACCGATAGGAAACCGTAGGATTTATTGCTGCAGACGGTACATAAATTCGACGTGAATGCGCCTTCGAAACGATATGTGCACCTAGTTTTCCGCCTGATTTGCAGTATATATATTACTTTTTGGAAAAGAAATATTATTGCCAAAAATTATATTGAGAAGGAACGATTTATGTAATTTTATGTTGTTGATAAAACCTTTCGACAAGGAATTGGTTCACAGATGAGATATCAGTTGAAAAATTGGTCAAAGTGATGTACCTATGTTAAAACATAGAACATATTGCAACATAATCATCGCAAAACTCAATTATTTATCTCCGAAAGTTATCATCAAGTTGAAATTCTTCGAGTCCCTAATTTGTGCTGCAGGAACAATTTGGCGCCTGTATCGTTCTGTAGCGCACTCCCACGATTCTTCCTGTATATGCGTTGAGCGGTGGGTTTTTCATGAAAGATTTATCGACCAACTGAAAGTTGCTTTGAGAAAACAGGCACATTTGCCGGAAAGCATGTGCCCGGAATACGAAACGCGTTAATTTGCGAAGCTCACAAGATTACCGACGCTGACGTTAAACAAATGCGCATCTCAAATTTGTTATTTATTACTTTGGGCGGATTGTTGGTTAGTTGGCTCCAGTAAATACGAGGAAAAAGCAGTTTATTTAGCCTATTTATTTTGGAAGACTCCAGGTCTCGACATTATTTGGGCAGTAACTCAATCTTGGGGGATATCAGGTCGGGACTCGGTTGCAGGATATTTGACTTGTCGGAATAAAATCTAAGTACACATTGACTGTACTTGTAGAAGTAGGCAGTTTAAGTACAATCTTCTGAACATGAAATCAGACTACAATTTCTGTGCAACTATATAAGTACCTATAAATATAATATCGGACTATCTCTTCTAGCATCAGCTGAGAAACTTCCATGATATTATTATATTAGGAAGTTATATCTAGTTGTTGAACAAGGGTACGTATATTTTTCGAGGTAATAATGAGTAAATTCTTTGTATTCAGATAACAAGGTAGTTTTAGGATAATAAAGCCCTACTGTTAGAATCGAAATCTATTTTATTTAGCTTACGAAAGTTGTCTAAAAAACCCTACATATCGATGAAAAGGTTTGTTAACTGCCAAATAAATATCAATTGGCAACACTTACGAGTCACGTATTTTCCATTATTA